AGTAATACTGCCTCGGAAACCCAAGGAGGGGTCGCTATGAGTTGGGTCCGACTCAACGGCACATAACAACAACTAGAACAGAGCAGGGAGAGATCTAATCACAAGGCTGGATTCGAGGCTTATGTATCTGACCCTGTTGCTCTTTTTCCTCCCATCTTGTAAATATCCCAACCTGGATTTTCAGTTGAAAAAGAAGCAGGTGTATGTAGATAAGGTGGAGAAGATGCAGCAGGCCCTCGTTCAGCTCCAGGCAGCATGTGAAAAACGGGAGCAGCTAGAGCACCGTCTGCGGACACGACTGGAGAGGGAACTGGAATCCCTCAGAATTCAGCAGGTACGGAGAGAGAAAAATGGGAAGTGAAATCATTCACGGTTATTTATTTTTCAGTTGGCTTTTGACCTGAAGGGAAAAGACACATTCTTGGTCATCTTTCGGGTTTTTGCCCCACCTGTTCTTCTTCAGAGTGCCTCCCAGTTATAAATATTAAGTCTTCTTCCTTAACTTCCTATCCCAGCAAAATCCTTGATGCCTATACTCTTACACACACATTTTATTTTCATATGGACCCCACAAAGATTAGATGCTGTAAGAAGTGAAAATGCTTTACGAATAGACTAATAATCATTTTAGAATTGGAAATGGTCTTTGGGAATCATCTGTCTTGGGAGATCAAAAGGGCAGCAGCAGCAGATTTTGTGAAGGAAGGAAGCTCAGGGGGCAGGGATGCATAGGAAAGAAGGATACAGGGAAAAGGTAACCACAGGGAAGAAAAGAGAAGAGAACTGTTACATTGTGGGAATTGCAATCAATGTCATGAAACAAAATGTGCATGAACTGTTGAATGGAAAACAAATTTGCTCTGGGAACTTTCACCCAAATCTCAATACAAAGTTGTTGTTTTTTTTTTTTTTTAAAAAAAAAGGAAGAAAGAATAGCAAATTATCTGTCTATCCATGCCCCTTTTAGATGAGAGAAAATATAGATAGACCCACTTAAGGTCACACAGAAAGTTAAGAAGCAAGGTAGAAACTAAATAGTAGGTTTTTAGGTTTTTGATTGCCATTTCTGTTGTGTATCCGCCTGGCAGGCAGGGGTGGCATTTTTTAACTCATTCACTTTCTGAGCAACATGACAATTTGATATGGTAGGCTCTTTTTCTTAACAATAGAATCCTATATTCAAGTTCAAGATAGAAAGTCCTGTGACCTGAGAAGGGGATTTGAATAACCCTTGCTTCTGAATCAAATCCAAAAAGAAGTGGCTAGATCAGTAATCCTTTCCAAGAACCCGAAACAAATCCACACCCATTGCCGTTGAGTTGATTCCAACTCATGGTGACCCCGTGTGTTACGGAGTAGAACTGAGCACCATAGGATAGAGGCTCTTAAAATGTGACCCAGACACTTACTAATCTGAGTGGTCTTGGGCATCTCCCCCAATAGCGTCAGGGCAACTCTCAGCCCACCAACGTTTCTGAGTACAATGCAACTGCACTGATGGAGCTCCTTCGTGAGAAGGAAGAGAGGATCCTGGCCCTGGAAGCTGATATGACTAAATGGGAGCAGAAGTACTTGGAGGAGAATGTGATGAGACATTTTGCTCTGGATGCTGCTGCAACCGTAGCTGCTCAGAGGTAAGCCATTAGCTTACCCTCCCTCACTACTTGGTGAGGGTGATAGGGAGAATTGGAAGGTAACTGATTAATAGATTGATTAATTTTCAGTGCATTTTCTGGTTTTTAATGTTCTTGTTGTTTCTCCCATTCCTGTGTAAGTGCCTTTTCTTTCATGTGGTTGGTTATGCAGGTACTGAATAACTGTGGGAGCAGAGGGTCAGGAATTTGAAAAGTCACTTTAGGAATCTATTGGAAATCACAGTTCAGCTTTCCACAGGAGCCAGAACAGTTGCAGATGGGATCAAGTGAATGTTTGCACATCTCCTTCACCAGAGCCACATAGTCTTTCAGCCACCTGTGCAGGTTTCTTTGTTTAGCACCAAGACTGGAGTGAAAGCCTCTCCAGAGAAATATCACTAAGAAAGTAAATGTCACTCAGGAGTGGCTGCTGCCATTTGATAGTCCTGGCTCATCCAAGGTAGGTCAAAGGCTATGCTGAACATGAATCCATCCTTGCCCTTTGAGAAGGTCTATATTTGAAGGCCACATTCTTTGTGTGCACGACCTCATCACATGTAAGCAATCGCATTCCATCTGGTAGGGGAGGAGTATTTTAATTTTTTGCTTCTCATTTGTTCCCCTTTTTATGTTATAAACATGAATTATTGGAGTTTGGAGGAAAAATAAAAATACTCTTACCCAGTTTCTCTGTCTCTGTTCATGATCATCAGTTGGGAAACAACC